GATATTGTTTACCTTGTGACGTACTCCTACTGAAAAACCTGATGCCGAAATCAGTTGTGACATATTGTCTGTTAATTCCATGATAATAGTTATGACAATTGTCGCCACTGTTACTTCCGATGCTGTGACATGACTCAGTTTTGCGGCCATCTGAAGTAACAGTCAGTGTTGTTGTGTAACCTTACATCCGTTATCAGTGTTATCTAAGACATATATTTAAAAGGACCCGTGAAGATCCAGGTTAGAACAGGTCTTCAGCAATACAAAGCCATGCTTGTCTTAAGAGGCGACTAACGGGATCGGGTGGTCAGGCTCCCTAACTTGGTTAAAGCATGTCATCGTATCCCAATTGCGTGGATCGATGGTCATGATATCAATCACTGGATTGTTTGGTCCAGACTCGATTATGTACAGACCGTCGTAACATGGCTGGAATATTGCTGAGTGCGGTGTTAAACAACAAACACACAAACATTTATCCAAATGGGATTGATGTCTTATATAGATTTTTTTTTAACACTTAATTACTTTTTATGCAAATAGTTCGTGTGGCGGGTGTTACCGGAAAGGCAGAACATACTTATCCTTATTGCGAACACCTGGTGTCATCACTGATTTTCAGTGATCCATTCATGTGTTTTTCACCGCTATTTTCCTTTTACGCCCAATGGTATATGTTTTGGCGGATAATCGAGGCTGGGTATACTCGGGCGTTGCCTTGTATATTTAGTTACACAGGTGACACGTTGTATTGTTATTGATGACCTGTCTTACCAATATATCTTATATAATAACAATAGGTTATAAATATCACTAACGTTGATGAAACAGGTTCGCTTCATACATGAGTGAGTGAGCGCGTTGGGTTTAACGCCGCTTTTAACAGTATTCCAGTTATATCATGGCGTGTCAGCCTAATGTGGGAGGAAAGCCCGAAGTGATGCAGGTCTCAGACGTTTACGACTTCGGTGAAACCCACGAGCACGGGTATGGAGCTGACAAACCTAGAAACATAATCGGGGACAACCGGGATTCGACCCCACAATCATAGCATTCTGGCGTGTCCAAGGGATACCACTCTGCACAGCGAATAACGGCGCCTTAGAGGGTCATACATGACCCTTTGTCGGACAAACCTGGCCTTAAGCATTGTTTTACTGACGAGGTCGTAATGCGGACAGAGTTAGGTTGGTTGCAGTGACAGGGATGACCCTTTGTTACTCGTAGTTACTGGATAGCCCTGTGGTTCTGTCAGGGATGAGGGTGGGATGGGGGGTGGTGGGTGTGGTTCGGTTGGCCCATTCATCTTAGGGACTCCAGATTCGCCGGTAAGGGAATGACCCATGCCGTCGGAGCCAGCCAATCGACTCGGTCACTTATTGTTACCAATTGAGCTTCATTTTATCTAGCTCTTACGAAATTTATACTGGTATCACTTTTATGAACTGTTATATGTATCTATATAAATATTTGTTGTCAGGTGAGACTCAAATAAACAATCTGTCTGTCTGTCTTGTATGGCGGGCGAGCATACCATGGTTGAGTGGTTGAGTGAGTGAATGAGTGAGGTGAATGGGCGAGTTGGGTCACTATCAACAGTATTTCAGTTATAGCACTGTATATTAGTGTAGGGTAATGGGGGCACCTACAATTCCCTACCCTGCATCCTTGCGGGGATGTCGTTATCCGCAACACTGAATAATATCTCAGGATGTGAAAAACAGTTTATCGCCGTCATTTAACGACATGGGTCACGTAACAGGCTTAACATTAATAACACCCTTGTTACATAAAGCGCCCTTTGTAATGCAACAGAGGGAACATTGCTTCACGTACATTGTCAAGACCATCTATCAGTTCTGTGGTGTAATACGTTCTGGAATTCAACGGTGATGCTTTCATATTTATTTATTTATTTATATATTATTTATTTATTTAATTTTAATTTATTTTATTTATTTAGCTAGTTATTTAGTTTATTTTTTATTTATTTTTTTATTTTATTTTTTTATTTATTTAATTTTTTATATATTTTTTTTATTTATTCATTCATTCATTCATTCATTCATTCATTCATTCATTCATTCATTCATTCATTCATTCATTCATTCATTGTTATATAATAATTCTGACCGGAATGACGTAATAGGTTCTGTTGTTACTATATCCATTGATGTTCTCCATAAGACACATATGGTACCAAATTTGGCAACACAACCCGGGTCCTCGTTGTACCAAGCCAATGCTTTAACCACAATACCAACTAACCCGTATTTTGCTCCCACTACGCAAAACACAAAACTGGTTGCCATGAATATTGAAATATGCCCAAATATGTTCGTTGTTGACATTTCTATGCATGTAAGTAACATATTGTTCCTGCTATTGCAAATGCAAACAGCAACAACGCTCAAGACCTTTATTTGTTCTAATGGTAACTATATATAGATGTTAGAGCGCAGAACAATTGTAAGAAAACTTAAGAAGTAAAAGCCTTTTGAATCTTGGACCGAATCCGGTCACTCACTCGGCCAAAACCCAGCCAGTGCAACCAACATGGTTGGTGCCCCTTGCTCTATCAGCAGAATGTACATCCTGTCCGTACCATTTTTGGAAGAGGGAAACTAGAGAGCTCGCCAAAGTCATCCAAGTTAACTTAGACCAGCGTGCGTACACTGAAGAAGGGGAAATCTACAAGCTCGCGTCTGATTGCACATCGTGTAGGTGCCAGCTTCAAACGAAGACCAAGGTCACCATCCAATAGGAAAAGACAATCGTGATCTTCACACAACTTTTCACGCAAGAGATCGACAAGGAATGTTATTGTCCACGTTATGGCTGTTTGTGCCACGAAATCAGTAGTCCTCCTTCGACGAGGTTTATCAAAACTGCTCATTCATAAACAGCCACAAAGTCGAGGTGTCTGTCCAAATAGTTTGAACTGACCACACATAGGCGGATCCAGCGGGTTGGGGAGGTCCAGCCCTATTCCCCTTCTTTTGAAAACAAATCCAGTATGTTGTAGGCAGTGAAATTATCTGAGAGAGGAATTTAATATTTTGCCCCCCCTTTTAAAATTGCTGGATCGGCCCTTGATTCACTTCGTCACACCATGCTTCACCTGTTACATTAGGTGAGGTGAGGTGAAGTGAGGTGAAATTGGGTTTAACGTCGCGTCCAAGATTATTGCACTTATATAGCGACGTGCATGCACGTGTGTGTGTGTGTGTGTGTGTGTGTGTGTGTGTGTGGCTGCTTGTACTAGTCCGGACTGATGCCGATTTATAGTGCTAGCTCACTGAGATACCATACCGCAGTTTAACATGAATACCCCACTCAGACACAGTATACTGACTCCGAGCCGTACAGTCCTTGTTTTAGCCCCTTAATGCCGATCGCCAGACAGGGTAACAACAAGTACCATCTTTTAACGTCTTTTCGTATGACGCGGTCGGGGATTGAACCCCGGACCTTCCGCTCTCCGGGCGGACGCTCTACCACTAGACCACGGAGGCGGTCTCCGGGCGGACGCTCTACCACTAGACCACGGAGGCGGTCTCCGGGCGGACGCTCTTCCACTAGACCACGGAGGCGGTCTCCGGGCGGCCGCTCTACCACTAGACCACGGAGGCGGTCACCTGTTACATTACATCAGACTGAAATTGGCAGCTGCGTCACGCTCATTGTGATACACGGCAAATGGATACAGCTCGATTATGTAATGCCTGTAGTTGTTGTTTGTTGTTTAACGCCGCACTCAGCAATATTCCAGCTATATGACGGCGGTCTGTAAATGATCGAGTCTGGACCAGACAATCCAGTGATTGACATCATGAGCATCGGTCCATGCAATTTGGATACGATGACATGCATCAACCAAGTCAGCGAGCCTGACCACCCGATCCCATTAGTCGCCTCTCACGACAAGCCTTGTCGCATGGGTTGCTGAAGACCTATTCTACCCCGGATCTTCACGGGTCACAATGCCTGTAGTAGATCTATTGATAACTATTATAGCATTATAGCAAAGCAAATGTGATGCCTGTGGCGATGTTTTGGGTTTAATAAAGTGTTACTCTCGAACAAAGCCCGTTCTTGGTTCCAGCATGAACTTTCATCCGTGACCTTGACGAGGTCACGGTTATCCAATCAAAAGGTATAAGACAAGGTCAAGCTTGTACGACACACGATTGACGTACGGATTTATTTAGTATCGTATCACCTGCCTCTTCACCCCGCGCCGTTGGTAATGAATTATGAAAGCGTCAAGCTTAGAAGAGATGACATTTAAGTTGTTTTACCTATTGACATGAATATCGAAAATGGTTCACTTGTACAAAACGATCTTAGCGCTAAGTCAATCGTAACCCCAATACTTTAACCCAGGCGTACGATAGTCCTAGCCCTGAGATCGCTTTATGCCAGTGGCCATATATATTCTTCATTAATGCAGCGTGTCATCGTATATTGCTTTTGTTGTTGTTGTTGTTGGTTTGTTGTTTTACGCCGCACTCAGCAATATTCCAGCTATATGACGGCGGTCTGTAAATAATCGACTCTGGACCAGACAATCCAGTAATTAATATCATGAGCATCGATCCACGCAATTTGGATCGATGACATGCATCAACCAAGTCAGCGAGCCTGACCACCCGATCCCGTTAGTCGCCTTTTACGACAAGCATTGTCACCTTTTACGGCAAGCATGGGTTGCTGAAGACCTATTCTACCCTGGAAATATTGCTTTTGAATCATACAACGTAACAATGTTTAATTATAGCATTGAGAATCGCTAATATACACATGGGTAAATGTCATAAAGTTATTACTGTCGGTAATTCAATCATTGTGTGTAATATTCGGAAATGGCTGATTCATTTCAGTGTCAGGAAACGGTAGCAAAGACTCAACTCCCATCTGATTTCCCTGTCGATGAGGATGAGGGTGTATATTTCTAACTCTTACGATAACAAGGGAGACATGAGATGGAGACCACGTACCTGTTGTAGTAGTTGAGGACGTAGGTAGCGGCGTCGTCGTGGTACTCGGCATGGGGACGAACGGTTGTCGACTGGTAGGCCCCCGGGGATTGTACAGCGGCCTCAGGGGGATCTGCACCCCCCCGCTAGGGTCAGGCGGTGGGGCGGTAAAGTATTGCACCTGCCCAGGGTACCGGTTACGTGGGTATCTCTGCGGGTATCCTCTCGAGGGGGGCTGGTTACGCGGGGCGTACCCCCTTGGTGATTCTCCGGGGTACGCTCTCTGTGGGGGCCCTCTTTGGTAAGTTGGTGACGGGAAGCCCCTTGGGGGCTGTGGTCCTGGGTAGTTGCCAGAGGGCTGTGCACTTTGATAACTGCTGAGAGCTGGACCGTTTTGAGATGCTCTATTTTGATAATCCGGTTGGGGAGGCCCACCTCCTGGCTGGCTGTTTGGGTATCCATTTTGGGGTGGTGCATTTTGGGGTTGGTATGACCTTTGGGATGCAGCACCAGGTTGATATCCACCTTTTGGGGGTGGTCCGCCTTGATATCCGCTTGACGGCACTACACCTGTATATCCGCTTTGTGATGCCTGTGGTCCACCCTGATATCCACCTTGTGCTGGTGGTGGTCCACCCGGATAACCGCCTTGAGGTGGCGGTGGTCCACCCGGATATCCTCCTTGAGGTGGAGGTGGTTCACCCGGATATCCTCCTTGAGGTGGAGGTGGTCCACCCGGATATCCTCCTTGAGGTGGAGGTGGTCCACCCGGATATCCTCCTTGAGGTGGAGGTGGTCCACCCGGATATCCGCCTTGGGGTGGAGGTGGTCCACCCGGATATCCCCCTGAAGATGATCCATACCGAGATGGATTGCTCTGGTATGATGGGGGTGGAGCTCCGGGGTATCTCGACCCAGAACCATATGTTGAAGGGTAACCCCGTTGAGGAGTATTCGAGTTCTGACCCTGGTAACCGTATGGAGGGTTGTTATAGCTCGAGGGTTGGAGCATGGCGCCATATTGATGTATCAGGCACACAGCTGAAACATTGAAGCATTCATTTCAGTGTTATGTCTTTGTGATATCAGGGCGGTCGGGTAGCCTAGTGGTTAAAGAGTTCGCTCGTCACGCCGAAGACCTGGGTTTGATTCCCGACATGGGTACAATGTGTGAAGCCCATTTCTGGTGTCCCCCGCCGTGATATTGCTGGAATATTGCTAAAATCGGCGTAAAACCATACTCACTCACTCACTCACTCACTCTTTGTGATACCATTGTGTAGGGGGTTCAAGATGAGTGTGTGAGTTGGGTTTAAAGCGCTTTTTTTAGTATTTCACTCATATCGGTCAGCCCAGTGTGGGAGGGAGTCCTGCAATAATGCAAAACCTAGAGTGAGTGAGTGAGTATGGTTTTACGCCGATTTTAGCAATATTCCAGCAATATCACGGCGGGGGACACCAGAAATGGGCTTCACACATTGTACCCATGTCGGTAATCGATCCCGGGTCTTCGGCGTGACGAGCGAACGCTTTAACCACTAGACTACCCGTCTGCCCCATAACAAACCTTGAAACGTAATCAGGAAGAAAATGGGATTTGAACCACAACTGTTACGTCTATGGGAAGCAACTCTGCAGAGTGCAAAGCGACGTCTTTAACGACTAGACTACACGTGACCTCTACTCCCACGTGACATTGTCACACACACACACACACACACACACACACACACACACACACACACACACACACACACACACACACACACACACATTCATACATACAGGCGTAGTACCGCACGTTCTGAAATTGTCCTTCAGCATGTCACTTAAATACGTTGCTTTTACTTGCTTTTACATTTGAATATGGTTTGGGTATTGGCATACGCACCAAGTACAAAATATTTTGTTCGAGATGCTCGAGTGGTTTCTGTTTGACAACGCATGATTGATATAGACGGATATATGTGCTAACAGACAATAGTTCGTTGTTGATGTCAATGAATAGAGCATAATGATGGATGGATGGATATAGTCAGTTTGGGTATATTGAGGGAAAATGGCGATTTTGCAATTTGTTATAAAAGCCCTATGGGCTTTAAACATGAACAAAGTTCGGAACAGTAAACAGGCAAAACATTGTTCAAATAAACATCGCTCCGGGAAAACATATTACAGTTGATGAATTTATATAAACATGTTCATGTTGAATATATATGACAATACATACAATTAATCTGTAACCGTAAGTTACAGCTAGTGGGCTCCGAGTTAAAGGAATGCGGTATCACAATTTCAATATTTTGTCCAATATGTATTACGTTATTATAACTACAATATTTTACTTTTAACAATAAAATCGTTGACTGATTTCAGAATTTTCATGTTGATTGCGTCCGTAAATGAAGAGTTGTCACATAAAACCTTTTTCGGGTTATATTCATGGGTCTAAAAATACATGTTGTTTCTAATGATTGCAAAGCGTCTTCAGGTATATGGAAATGATAACACATCTTGAACTAATAACGACATTTGAAAAAAATAAAAAATAAATAAAAAATAAATAAATAAATTTGGAGCCCAAGTGAATACAGTATGATTCTCATATTTGATTGCATTGTGGCACCAGTGGAATAAATGTGGGTGCATGACGTTGCAGTGTAGTTGCATAGCTGCAGCAAGGGAGCTACTGTATTTGCAATGTACATGTGACCATATCATTTATACATTTTACACAATACAGTGTTTCCAAAATGAAAATGTTCTAACACGTAATTTGAAAATGTTTTTTCAATACCTTCTTCTTCAATACGAGTGAGTGAGTGAGTGAGTATGGTTTTACACCGCTTTTAGCAATATTCCAGCAATATCACGGCGGTGGACACCAGAAATGGGCTTCACACATTGCACCCACGTCGGGAATCGAACCCGGGTCTTCGGCGTGACGAGCGAACGCTTTAACCACTAGGCTACCCGACCGCCCCTTCCTCAATGTGACGCAGATGATATTCATACGTGTAGAAAGTAGCACATGATGAAGCCATTACCTCACAAGCAAAGGTTATTTGAAGTGGAGCACGTGATTCTGAGCATACATCTTCAGATATGTCACGTTCCCTCGTCTGGCGTTAAAGTGGATAAGTTGTAGCAGTTTCCTAACCCCGTGAACTGCTGAACTCGTTTCCTAATAAACACATCAGGGTCAGAGCCATGTATCGGATTGACCTTCCTACTATTGCCCAAGACACAAATCATCCTCAGAAGACAACTGCGCGTGACAAAAGGACAACAGGTCAAAATGGAGAATATGGAAACATCAGATGTATACTTGATGATATTAATTTTAACATGGTGTGTATTTCACGAAAAGGTATTTGGGTACCATAATGGTGTTACCTTCTCTACGCGAGTCTTATAATAATCATTGGTTCCATTGCAAAGAGATTTTGTCTTGTCAAACAACATGTTGATCTCATCAAGTGATGTGACAAGATTGAGCCACGAGTGAAATTGTCATGATCAGCTTAACATGTTATTTAGGTCAAGAATATTATATTAATTTACGGATTGTGGAAGGGGGACATTTGGTATGTAGGTCGAAATGAAAAGTATTGAACATGATTTCTTTAAGCATCTTGTAGTTTGTTTGGGTCTGGGCTGGTATTGGTCCTTATAAATATTGTAAAGACTTGAAATCTTTGATAGGCATTAAGAAGAATGTATGATACGTTTTGTATTGATAACTTTTATTCTTGTAATGACGTGTCATGGTTACTTCTTGCCCTTCCTTTGAATGAAGAGTATATATATATAATACATAAATGATAATATGTTTACCCCAGGTGGGATTAATGAACAAAGATCACAATAGCACGAGCATTCCAGTAGGATTAGCTGGAGAGAAACCAATTAAATACAATGAGTGAGTGAGATGGGTTTGACGCCACTTTTAACATTATTTCAGTTATATCACGCCGTGTCAGCTTAATGTGGGAGGAAAGCCATGCAGGTCTCAGACGTTTGTCACTTCGGTGAAACCCACGAGCACGGGTATGGTGATCACAAACTTGGCGTGCGAATCGCGGCGCCTTAGACGACTGGGCCACCCGTGCCCCCTTAAATACATTGAAGGTATAGTGGTGGGAGTGGGTGTAAGCTGACTGTGGTAGCACTAAGAATAGGACAATCAAGAAGTGCATTGCATTTTAATGACAGGATTAAAGCGCAGTAGGGTACAGCCTGGGAGGGTAGATGCCTCCGTCACTGTTCTTTCTTTGAAGTAGCCCTGAAACGTCGTAACAAATAATAAAGAAATTGTTATCATTAAAAAAATCATACATTCATAATTCGTTGGATTAAATGGTTAGTCTGATATAATCCCTTGCATTATATGTATTGTCAAAGCGATCTTTACCCCAGGCTGGAATAGCCTTGTAATTCTCATTCTATTATACACCAGGGCCCACTTGCACAAAGCGATCTTAGCGCTAAGATGATCGCAACTCCCATACTTTAACATAGGCTTACAATAGTCGTAGTGCTAAGATTGCCTTGTGCAAGTGGTCCCTCGTGTATTAGGATGTTAAGAAAATGTGTCTGTATACACCATGCCATAGTTGTTTGAGGTATATGATAGGAGTTTCCTTTATTCAATCCTACTCAAAACACTGGAACCTATTTAGAAACCACAGTACGTTTGTCTCATAAATAAATTGGGATAGTTCTAGATTTGATTAAGAACAATAATAATTGCATTATTATGTGAGTAATAATGTAGGATAGCCTACATTGTCAACATTCATTGACATATGTAGGCGCGGGGCAAAATACAGTACACAACTACGTTAGATGGTGATTTGTTTATACAAGTATCATAGGCCTTAAGTTTTGTGTTTCGGGGACTGTTTTCAGCCTTGTAACTGTTTGTTCAAATCCAGTTTCCAGTGTGTACTTTCTTGGGCACGCCAGGAACGTACGGTTGTGGGTTCGAATCCCGGTTCGCTCCGATAATGTTTCTAGTTTTATAACCGTAACCGTGGGTTTTCCAAAAAGTGATAAACGTCTGAAACCTGCATCAAGTCCAGCTTTCCTCCCACATCAAGCTGACATGCCGTGATATAACTGGAATAGTGTTCAAACAATTGCGGCGTTAAACCCAACTCACTCACTCACTCACTCACTCACTCACTCACTCACTCACTCACTCAAAAGCGAGGAGTCAGGGATTTTAAAAGCTGAAAGTTCGCGTTCGCCATGGTGTACGATACCGTCACTGTCGTAACAGTCGACTAATTAGCAAATGGTGTTCATGCTCGTTCAGTTGGCCATATTCCCGAGGCAAGGGAGTTGACTGACTGTGAAAATCCAGTTTACACCCTTGACCAGCTAGGCTTGAGTTTCTGGGCTCGATCGTAGCGCCACAAGTGGCTATTACGAGTTATGTCTCTTCTATCTACCTTCTATGTCCCTCCTATTGACCAATCAGATTCCACCTCTCATTACTTCGCGAAGTGCATCAAATCACGTGAGTACCTTGATCATAAACATGAAAAGATTTGGAAAATATCAGTTGACACTAAGTTGACGATACACATGCTTTCTAAATCCTGCAATCGACCGAATTCTGCACGGCAGTTTACGAACCGGGTGTCGATTTCGTTACGCGATTTTGACTTGACTTAAAGACTCGTTAGTCCAGCCAACATATAACTCCATAATCCCAGCCTTAGTTCCACAAGGGCGGAAACTGGACTTATATTGAATCAGTTAACTCCCTTTCCTCGGGAAGATGGCAGTTGGCTAATTGCGTAATCACTGGTTGGGATGATCCAGCCACACTATTTCTATATACAAATAGCTACTGTTGACGAGGTCAATATGTTAAGAAAAGCACCGAGACCCCGACCCCTGGGGTGGTCTGACAGGACCGAGGCCGCAGGCTATATAGTGTATTGATTTATCTCTCTCTGCGACAATATACAACAAATCACTGTTGACAAAATCAGTACGCGGCGACAAGGACCGGAGCACCCGAGGACCCG